GTTATTGCCCTTTAAATTAGTAGTGAATTTGAATTTTTATTAAATTTCGCTGTGAATCCAATAAAAAAAAAAGCAATGCTACGTGAACTTAAAAAGTAAATTTAAAAACTAGACTTGATAATCTCAACCATTGATTTCACTGTAGGTCCCAATATTTATTAGGACCCACTACCTATTCAATTGTTGAGATTATTAAATTTAATTTTTAAGTCTGTTTAGCATTACTCTAAAAAAAAATGATCAAGTTACTAACTTAAATCTGTAAAGTAATAATACTTCAAATTTCAAAACTCTGGAGTGTCAAGCTGTTGGCCCATGGATTGCATGTACTGCTCAAGATTTAGGCCCAGATTTGATCCAGCAGACAAGTAATCAATGGGTTGGTAATCTTGGACCAAGTAGTGGGCTGATTATTTTGCCCAATTAGTAACAATCCAACCTCCCAGCTATTTCAGTTGGGCCCTAGTTTTTGAATAAACGTAAGGGGAAATTGTGAAAATGTACACTTTATCATACTTATTTGTATAAAAATATTTTAATATAAAATATTTGTGTATAAATATCTTTATGTGTAAATGTTTGGTAAAGAGGTACACTTTTACTGAGTTATAATTTTTTCTCCTACGAAATTGTCATTTTCCTTTATTAGTGGGAGACAAATATGATAGTTATATTAGCGATTTAGTTTCCTAAATTTATGGAATATTATTTTTGAATTTTAAATTATATCTTTCTTTTTCTTTCAATTTAAGTTATTCAAATATTCATTTTTATCCAAACATTCATGTCTTTTCCATATTTGTATAATTTTTTTTTTTTATAAATCGTGATAATCAAGATGATGATTCTGATTCGGAGGATGATTTGTTGTCTCGCACGATAATGTTACAGTGCTATAGGACAATGTCACAATGGTATTAGAAAATGTCACACTGCTACAAATCAAATTTACACTGCTACAATGTTGTCCATATGTTTTTTTTTTTAAAAATCGTTACGGTCTCTTAATGTCAATCACGTTCATGTGAGGATAAATGTCAATGATGATGACTCAAATGAGGATGATCGTAATAATTAAGATGATGATTCTAATTCAGAAGATGATTTGCTGCTTCGCACGATAATGTCACAGTGCTACAAGACAATATTACAATGGTACTAAAAAATGTCATAGTGTTACAAACCAAATTCACACTGCTAGAAACCAATGTCACATTATTACAAGTCAATATCACAATGTATATAGCCTCTTTGGTTTTTTTTTTTGTCAAATGATCGAACACTTTGTGTGCATGTAGTACCAAACATTAGAAGTAGAAAGGTAATTGAGGGGGAAAAAAGTAAATAAAATAAAAACGTTAGAAAAAATAACATTTTTCTTGAGTTATCAACTTCTTTTTCAAAAAATTTAACCACGCCCATCCTTCTGCTACAATCACTCTCATTCAAACCTTTATCTAAATTGTTCTCACCCAGATGGTGCTTTACTGAAACCACTTTACCCTTTAATGTAACCAAGAGATGTTAATGAATCGGATTTCAATCCATATCCAAGATCGTATGATTGAGTTAGTTCTTCGTTACTAAAAAAATTTATAACCACTCTTATCTTTCTCCATCCTGCTACAAAAGTAAAGATTTGAATAGTGAAGTTTTGAAAAGATATTTTCTTTAGCAACGATTAACAAAAAGTTTTGAACATCCAAAAGGAGATTTTATGAAAATTTTGGAAGAATGGAGTTTCCGACGATATTAAAGGAATTTATATGTAACTGTTGAGATTCCTTAAATTTCAGTTATGGAAACAAAAATATAGAAATCAGTTCTCATTCTACTGAATAGGGTATTTTAGAGATTTGTTAGGGATTGTATACTTTTTGACCTATATTTTTAAAAATAGTACTTTTTGCCTTATAATTTCTAAAAAGAGTACTGACCCCTTAAAACCCAAAACGTAATATATTGATCCAGCCCAGATATACTTGTACCCAATTGGATTAGGTCATGCAGCATAGACTATAATTTTTTGTAGTATAATGTTAGGTAAAATATATTCCAAATATACATTTGTCTCGTTGCGTAACAATTCACTCTTTAAGTAAAGCCAACAATTAACTTTTTTCTCTCTTTTCAGGGAGTCTGACTGGTTACAATTAAACAAGTCATCTAATTTTTTGGTTGGTTGATTGTTTTTAAGACTCGAACCTTTTACACTTGTCACAATAAAGTAACCATACAACAGTGCCAAAACCCACCCTTAATTTGAACAAATTTGATCACAAAATTTATTGTTTATTTTCTTTAACAAATACAGCTTCATGAAATCACGGTCCTGTGTACTGTCCTCTGGCGGAAAAGTGTAGAATTGATGGTCTAAGAGGCCCACTAAGTATATCTGGTTCTCCTTGAGATGCTTGAGAAGTAAGCTTCAATTCGAATATCAAAATCCTTGTTTCAAGGTGATCTTTGGGTAATCTTCCACTAAGCGAGGAACTTAACTAAAGTTCAATGAACGAGTTATACAAGACTAACATTTGATACACAGATATATTAGAGGGTGTCTGTTAAATGGTTGATCCCCTTCGCAATCCGATGTTAACTAGTAGTAAGTTTTTTAGAATCTGACCTATCAAATTGTGTTTTTGTTCTTCTGTTCTCTTGGTCTTCTCTACGAAACCATGATATGATGTGTCTTTTTGCAGCTAACTTGTTGTTTGTTATTTGCATGTGTGGGAATCCCATATCGGAGAGAAAAATAAGAAGGCGGGTCTTAATTTTCTGTTGATGGGCTCACCACCTATAGACTAAAACTTTTAATTGAGTATGAGTTCCAGTCATGTATATTGGGTCTTGGATCACTGGAATCCCTATTCTTCCAACAAAATGGTATCAGAGCTGATGACTGACGATCATGTATGAACTCTCGAAAAAGTGGTATAATGTGACGGTATTAATAGTGGATCTTAAAGAAAGTGGTAGACTCTTAGTATTGAAGTCATGAAAACGCAACTCGGAGAAGAGCAGGGCATGGGCATGGGCGCAAGGGTTATGGCAGAGTGGTAAATGGTAATGCGATGACTTATAAAGATCCAAGAAAAACTTGGTTCTTGGTTCACACATGAGGAGGAGCTTGTTGGGTATTGCATGTGTGAGAATCTCACATCGGATAAAATAATAAGTTAAAGTATCATAATATATTGTTGGTTTGCTCACCACCTGTAGGCTTAAGCTTTTAAATGGATATGAGTTCTAGATATTTATATTGAGACTTAGATCATTGAGCTCCCTATTCTCTTCCAACACTTGGCAAGGGAGCCAACCTTACTAAATGCATTGGATCTTAGGTACCTAATAATTGACCTGATTTGTTGCGTTATTGGTAGTTATTATAATGCAATGAAAATGAAAAAATACATGAGTGAGAAAGAATTACTTGAGGCAGGGCCAAAAAGCTAAAGATGATTAGTTGAGTTTTAAAAGGGACATAGTAGTGAATGGAAAGCCGAAATTAATGTGAGTTGAGATACAGTGACTAACTGTTTAGTGTAGATTATGATCATAGGTGAAGGAGAATAGTGACTTATGTTTCATGTGGCAAACTGTATTGAGTCAGGAAAAGACCTTGTTGACTTTAATTGTTTTTTCAACTCTTGACATGGTACCCTTCTACACCTCGGTTATTTGCATAAGTCAGGAAAATAATAATTACTCATTTCAGAAGCAAATAATCATTTTACTGGCATAGATATGGTTTCAGGATCCCATAGCCTTGTTGATTTCGCTACTATTGTGCTCCCCAAGCTCTAACGACCCCCCACCACCAGGAAAAAAACAAAACAGATGCACAAAAAACAAAGATGAGCTCTTGGCTTGTTATATCCTTGTCATAATTGGAACTCTTGTTGGGTTCGATTGTTGATTGTTTTATTTTTCCCATTGCATCATCAAAGTTTACACCTTTGTATATGAAACCCGAATTTTATTTTCTGGAAGTCATGAAATGATTTCATAACCTGATCAGATTCTATAGTTGTTCTAGTTAATGACCCTCTTTATTGGTCGACCAAAATAGATGCATTGATCATGGTGTAGCTGACTCACTTCCTTGCTTGCTTGAATTGCTTCCAATTTTCAGGGGAAGATTTACATTTGACAGTCCATTCCCAGTCTTCTTATGATTCCATTCAACCCGTCAAAAATGGACTGACAACTCTTTTATGCATGTCTACGTTCGTGTTTGTGCGCGTTGGTTCTTTTGAAGAGATGGCCAAGTACTACTTTGCTGACTCTTGAATTCAACTTCGATAAATTCATTCATTGCCTGAATGCATGTTACATGTTATTTAGCTGAATTGCTCGGACTCTGGAATTCAACTTTGATGCACTTATTTGACATTTACATGCATGTGCCATGTTCATGAACCAATTATTGACATGTTTCGAGGCCATGAACCGATCGATGAAAAATTTCATGAGCACTTTACACATGTTTAGGATTATACTCGTGTTTTCAACTATGCCCTACACTATATTTGGAATCCTGAACCTTCTTTTTGGAGTGGCGGTACATGTTTTTGTTTTAGAGGAGTCTGCATGTCTTCTGTTTATCTATTTGCTGCTTAGACATGAATCCTGCGGTCACTTGGTGAAAAGAATTCCGTCATCAAGTTTTATTTGCTACTTCGACATGAAATGTTTGGTCACTTGGCACTAGAATTCCCCCAATGCCATATCCTAGATGAACCTTATGAGGTGGCTGATGGGTTGAATTGGTAAAATTAGGCGAAGTAGCTGCCCTCACAACAAGCTGTCATAATGTTATGAATGTCCAACCCCAACATAATGTTTGATTCAATATTTTCCTTTAGTCTGATACCTCATTGGCAGTTACCAAATACTGCCTCAAAACCTAACTGTTTCTTAGTGTTGAGTGTTTCTAGGGGCATTGAAGAGCAAAAGGTGTGTAATATTCACCCTATACTCTTCATTATGCACTAGAAATGAACCTTTTGGCTAGCCTGAGTCCTGACACTATACTGATGGACTCTGAATTTCATGAATCTGAAACTTCACCAGAGGATGATTGTCATTAAGACCTAACTTTATCTTTAGGGCATTTTGAGTTCGAAGTGGTATTTGTACAGTGCACCAATTTCATACGGCAGACATAGACAATAGGGAATACAACTTCTAATGATGCTAACATCACATGAGACAAATCTGTGAACTCCCTTCCCACATTGTTCATCAATATTCCTTCTGCATATTAATCCCAGCTAGCATCATCCATTGTTTTTTCTCACTTGGGGCTGAAAGCCTGAAAGACCATAAGAAAAAGCACAAACAATTCTATCAGATTTGCTTGCACTGGGCATGCCATGTTTGTACAAGATTGTCAATGCATGCTCATGAGATTTGCACGTACCTATTCTGACTACATTTGTCTACAACATTATCCATATTGTTTCAATAATTTTTCTTCTGAGAATCACAGCATGTATGCATGTTAAAAATATAATCATCTGTGCTTCTTATCTGCGAGTTTGTGAGATCTACATTTGCCCAGTCTGAATAGATTTTGTCTAAAATGTTAACCACATTTTTTCATGAAAGTTTTCTTTGAGAATTAGAGCATGTATACAAGTAAAAAACATTCATCTATGCTTCTCATCTGCGCATTACTGTATTGGTATCTATATGCATGTTCAGAAATTAGAAGACTAGATATAGCTGTTGATTAAATTCTGAGGGTTGCTCCTTACAGCAAAAACGGTGGCATGACCAGGATCAGCAAGGTGAGCAAAGAGGTTGTCAATTGGTCCTGTTCCAGTGTAAATGTGTTGGAACCATGCACCCATCACAGCCAGCATTGCTAACCTCCCGTTCTTGATCTCTTTTGTCCTCAACTCTTTTATCTTCTCTGGAGAACCACTTCCCCATCCAAGTGGGTCGAACCATAAGCCACCTGGGTAGCCAACATCTGTCCCAGTGAGCTTATTGTTTGGGAAGATAGGGTCAGTGTTGACACACCCGGGCTTGATGATGTCTGCCCACCGTCTTCCCTCGGCCCAACCGATGAAAATGAGTTCAACAATGAAGAGTGTGGTTGTATCAGTGAAGTATTCTTGTTTGCCAGCGGTGTACCACGAAGGAGTGTTTAGAATGCCAATCTTTGTGAGGAATTCGGGGATGAAAATGCCCGCTGCACCTAACATTGCCCATCTGCAGTGTACAAGCTCTGATTGCACATTCCTTCTCAAGTTCTCTGGATCAGATGCTGTTGAAGAAACAATATCGAGGTAATAATCAAATGTTTACTTTGAGGAACAACAGAGACACTGAATCCTTTCATACTTGATGATTCCAAGCCAAAATTTTAACTTGGACTTACCCAGACCAAGCGGATCAAAGCCGAAGTCTCCAGGGAGGCTGCAAAGTAGGATTCACATTAAAATCAAGTAATCTAACAACTATACCCTTAATCATATTTTAACTGAGATATATGTATCATCACAATTCACCTGCCATCAAGCCATGGAGGAGGGATGCTGCCAGGGAACCAGATGGGCCTCTCCGGGTCAGCTGCAGCGCAGACGGCGGTGACCGATCGTACTCCAGCCGGTGTAGTATACTTGCTCACTCTCAGTTTTCTCCCACCAAGAAAAGAGGCCTTTGTTGCTCCCACAATTGATCCGTTTTTCTGGGAACTATTATACCAGAATTAACCTGTCTGGTTGTTACAAATACAATGTATATCTGGATTGTGTACTTTTTATGTTTTCGATTACTTAAAAGCATTCATTATAATAGACACCTTGCCCTGGAAATCCCATACAAAACTGCATACACACGTGCATGCACAACTATTCTAGTTATAGTTGCATCTGATGATCTTATCTCAGAATTTATTTATGTCAAGAAGGGGGTTTTGAGAACTTGCCTTGGGGAAGAGAAAGCAACAGCAGCAATGGCGGAAGAAGCACAGCCAGAGGCCATGTCGGCAAATTTTTCTTGAATGCAGTGTGTTCTTGCTGGTGTGTCTGAGACGTGTGGAAACCAGAGGTTGTTAATGTTTTCAGGGGCTTATCTAAGAGGGTAGGAGAGTGATGGTTTGATTGGCTGCTGGTGTTGCCACGTGTTAATGTTTCCAGTTCTTTCAGCTTACCTGGAATAAACTAATAAAATTAAACATTAAATTGAAAAAATTAAAGGTTAATTTGTGTTAATTTTAATTAACACAAAATTTAATAACCCATTTATCAGCAGTCACCCACCCTATAAAATCGCTTGATATACCTACCAATTGCCAAGGGAAAAAAAAATCCGCCTATTTTTTGAAACGTCCGCCTCTCTCTCTCTCTATTTCTCCCAAACAGGAGCTGCAATCACCGAGACCTCCACGATGCCAATTACCATTCTTCCTATTACCACCGCCGTGATACAGTATCAGAAAGTACCGTGGATATTTGAAATACTCGTCCATGTTTAAATTTTTACTTTCAAGTCAAACTCTGAAATTGGATCTCGGATTGAGATGTCATATTTTTGTAACAAGTATTTATGTCAAACTTATAAGTTTCCGTTTATTTTTACGACAAACAATAGCGAAAACGAGTCTTTTGGGAGCTTTAACTCTAAGTTTAAGTTTTATAACTTGTAAGTGTTAAAATTTCTAGCTTATAGTCAAACTCTAAAACCAAGTCGCGACTTATAAGTCTGTATCCATTTTCATAGCAAACAGAGCAGAAACGAACAGTTTAGAACCCTTAACTCTAAATTTTAAATTTTAAATTTTAAATTTTATAACTCGTATGTGTCAAAATTTCTACTTTCAAGTCAAAGTCTCAAATTAAGTCTCAGATTGAGGTGTCGTTTTTTCCTACAAGTCTCTATGCTCGACTTATAGGTCTCGATACATTTTCACAAAAAATGGAGCGAAAACAGGCAATTTAGAACCCTTAGCTCTAAGTTTAAATTTTTATAACTCGTGAGGATCAAAATTTCTATTTTCAAGTCAAACTTCCAAACCAAGTTTCAAATTGAGATGTTGTCTTTTCTTACAACTTTCCATGCCCAACTTATAGGTCTCCGTTTTGGTAAATGCATGCTTAAAAAATACATGGCCTAAACTAGTTATTGTACTCACCATTACATCACATTCCTACCTCAATATAACCATTTATCAATAACTGCAAGAACATAATAATAATATTAAATCATATCAATTGAAGCAATAAAAAAATCTGTTGCAGTAACAACAAAATTATGCATGTAAACACTTTCTAACATGAAAATTCACAAAGTATATAAAGACGCTCGTGAAAAAAGAAAAGAATGATATTAGTTTGAAATGAGATTTATAAAAACATTTAGTCAGCCTAAATGAAGTTGTCTCTTAATACATCCCTCTAAATATAAAATAAAATTTAAAATAATCTCAGTATATATCTCTCTCCATCTAAAATCAAACTCTGTTTAGACTTATAAATTGGTATAGAAAAAAGGCCCAAGAAAAAAAAGGCCCAAGAAAAAAAAAATAAGATTGTCAATAATTAAAACTAATTATACCACTCAATTGAACAAATACATTACTTGTAACACTCCGTTTTCGGGACGCATTACTTGATAAATCAATCACCACAATACCACAAATCATAAATACATCTCCAAATGTACATGGGCCAAAGCTTTAATTACCTCAATAAAAAAATTTCTCTCCATAATTAATATACAAATGAATCTGTTCAAATTATATATCACCAACTATCAAATATAGCCTCATACTCGATTTTCTCTTGGTGGCATGAGAAATGATATCTTGGGCATATAAATACATACTGATACTACCCAATCACATCCCGTAGGACTGTAACCACAATCGCACCTCGCAGGCCATAATTACATTTTCCCAATTATGTCTCACCTTTCAAACCAGGCTATTCATTCTCTAAAACCCCAAGATTGTCCTGTTTCTAAGGTTGAGGATATCCCCAGTGGTTGGAATACCTCTATTATACGCAATGTGATCTCAAGGGAGGAGGTGAAAGCTATTCAAACAATCCCATTGCCAGTCAAAGGGGGAAAGGACAGAAGAATTTGGTGGCCTAACAGCAAGGGACTCTACATAGTTAAGTCTGGGTACAGAATAGGAAGCAATCTAGTCTTGGGTCAATCGGAGGTTAGCTCCTCCTTCTCCCCTCACCCCAAGTTGTGGTAGTCCATCTGGAGTATGAAGGTGGTTCCTAAAATTAAGCATTTTTGATGGAAAACCTGTCTGAACGTCCTAGCCACAAGAGAAAATCTATTTAAGATGAGGAGTGCCCCGTCAAACATTTGCCAGATTTGTTTGATGGCTCCAGAGTCCATTGAACACATTCTGTTTGAGTGTGAATGGACCAAAAGAATTTGGTTTGAAATGGACCTCAATATACAATGGGAAAACTCTTCCTTTGTGTCAGTGGCTCAAAGGTCGTCAATGCTCTTACAGGTGATAAAGGAGCCTCAAGGTAGAATTGAGCTATTGGGGAAAATGGCTACAGTGGGATGGGTAATCTGGAAGGCTAGGAATCACTTCATCTTTAACATAGAGGAGGTTAATGCGCATGCCACTGTCATCCACGCAAAAGCCATGTGGAGTGATCAACTTATAATTGGTGAACTTGAGGTTTCCAGGGAACAAAGAGATCCATTAGTGGTATGGCACAAGGGATCAACGGTGTTTGACTTTGGTTGTCTTATCTTATGTGATGGGGCATTCAAATCTGCTTCTGATAAGGCCGCATGTGGAGTGGTGATTTGCAAAGAGCTTGACTTTGGCAGTGCAAAATCTATATCTGCTGTATCTAGCATTTTTTCTGAAACTGAGGCAGTAAGGCAAGCCTGCCTCCTTGCTGAAGCCCAACTGATCAAAAATGCAACTATCATGAATGATTGTCTCAGCATTATTAAGCTTAGCTCCAACGAACATGTTCTCCTATGGGAAATTAGTGTTATAATTTAAGATATAGACTTTTTTTTTGGTCATACAACCTTAGCTTTCTACACAAGCCTAGAGTCTGTAACAAGGTTGCTCATTGGGTGACAGCCACTATGTTAAACAACTCGCTCCCCCCTTCCCCGAGCTTACGGCTTTACTTTTGACTGATCGTAACCTCAATTTTTCTATTTCATGATATTTTACTTTGCATGTTTTTATCAAAAAAAAAAAGTATTTAACGCAAAATACAGGTTAACCAATAAAATTGACAAAATTTCGTATTAATCAGAATAATCAATAAGAATACAAATTTCAAATAATTAAATGACACTCTTAGCAAAGAGATTAAAAAGGCAGGAGTATATTATATATTACCACGTACCTCAAATGACTTCAATAGATATGAAATTCAAAATGCCATGAACAAAATATTTGAATTCGAAAACAATTTAAAGTAGAATCATTATTCAATTTTTGACCCTATGATCTCATGAATTTTTCCCTCTCTCTTTACATTATTCTGCGTTTTAGCCATTGCTTCTTGGTTATTTATAGCCAAAACTCTTCCAACTCACTGTTTGCAATGCATGTGACCTCAATGGACAAATGTCCATTTTTGGCCGAATTTTTTTTTTTTAATAATAAAACACACTTGTCACTTAAAAAATGGGTAGACCCCCTTCGTATGACACTTTTGTCCCCTTTGTTATAATATCTTCATCTAAATCACATATTATTCATTTACCACCCGTATAATATATCTTTCAGATACTTTGACATTTTTATTTTAACATAAAATATGTCATATATTAAAGTCATTCGACTTATTTTCCCATAAAGAACTTATATTTGAATTCCATTTATTTATTTAAAAAATTTAAAATAACTCTTAGTTATATAGAATCATAATTAATGACCTAATTAGCTTATTAGTGATTAATTTTTATACGAGTCATCACATTATTGGTGCTCAATGCCCTTACCAATGGATAGAGGAGAACTATGGGACATGCGCAGACCTTAATATCATCATGTATGGATATCGGTAACAAATGAATACATGCAACCCTTAAACTCAAAATTTGTCATAGCATTTTCGTTAATAACCCAAATTTAACATTCCAAACCTCACAACTAAAACAATCAACAATTATAGTCGGACCAAACAAATCCTAAAAACAATGTATGAAATCAGTTCACATTCACCAAACAAAGAACAAAAACATACTTATGCGCATTTGCCCATTTTACTAAACCCAAATAATGCTGAACTGCAATAATACTCAGGTAGTTGAATAAATAAGAAATAAAGATACAAAAGCCTTAACATGACCATTACTCCTTTATAACCAATGCATTTCTTGACCAAAATAGAAACAAAAAGCACTACCACTCATAGGGACCTAAATAATTTTATTATGCAAATAAATTGGCTGTTGTCTTAGCTTCATCTACCCCCTATCAAGTAAAAAAAAAAAAAATTTAACCGCCCGTCAACTGTGTAATGGTTTGCATATCTACTCGTAGGGGCCTAAAAGACGATTTTGCATATGAAAGACATCATCATTCGATGATTAATTATGGTATAACATTTTTTTGTGAAACAATAGTGAATTAGTCACCCAATGAACATAAAGAATAACACTCTAAATTTAGTTGAATCATCGTAGCAAGATCACAAAAAATTGAAGTAGAACTCACCAAAGGCTCTAAGGAAAAAAATAGTGGGTTAAACTAAATTTCATCAAAATCAATACCCACAAAAAAATTAAAGATGAAATACCCAATAGGAAACCATCAAACATTACAACGAAACCCAATGGCTTCGACAAATATTGATGAACAATTTACTCGGCTTTCTTCATCACAACATCAAGAACGTTGATGAACAGTGCATATGAAGTAAAATGACATAAATTAAAACACAAAAAATTCCAACAAATTACAAAGCCAAGATGTTTTGGAGTAATAGAAGAACTTAATTCCAAAAATAAACTAGCTAAGGACTGCTCACAAAAAAAAAAAATATTAATGGACATCCATCAGACAAAACATCATGAAAACAAAACATCATGAAAAACACACAATGAGAGTGAACAAAAATATGGAAACAAAAAAAGAGGGAATCTTACCAAAC